ACCTTTGGTGGATGCCCTCATAGGTTCAGCCTCTGTTGTAGCAAAGACTCTGTCTTTAGGTTCTAAAAGTTCAAAAAACACAGGGAACCTCTTCTCTGGATCTTTTGGGATGAAATACTGTGGATTTCAGTTCCACATACAGTAGTGAATCCAGGGCTATCTTCTTCTAAACCCACAACAGTAAAATCAGTCTGTTTATGCAGTAAAGCATGCTTGTTATACTCAATGTAGAGGGGTCCTCTGCATTGTGTAAAAAGGCTGTTTGATCCCTTCTTCTCTGCCCCTGCTCTGGTTGATATGACCACCTGATACAAGCTGAACCCGTGGTCACATGCACATGCTCAGTTTGGTGTGTATTGCTAGAGAGGTTTTTTTTTTTTGGGAAGGTGCATGTGATCAGCGCTGTCCAGACAGAGAGTCTGAGGTTTCACATTGTCAGAGGAAAAGACGAGGAAGCCCCGGGCAAATGCACCAATGTGCAATATGGCCATGCCAATGTGCGCAAAGAAGTGCGCATGGCATAGGCGGGCAACACGTAATAAAGCATTCCTGTGCACGAAAACACACCAGCACACACAGGGTGCACTAATTGTTGACACTCAGTGGTCTTTATAAGGACTGCAGCTCTGCTCAGTGATTGCTGGATTATAGTCAGCCCCTCCTGTTCCTATGTTCCTGAGCTTACTGCTGATTACCCATTACCGACCCGGCTTGATCCTGACCTTGTTCCTGTCTGCTGCTCTGTGTATGACCCCGGCTTGATCCTGACCTTGTTCCTGTCTGCTGCTCTGTGTATGACCCCGGCTTGATCCTAACGTTGCTCTTGTCTGCTGTTCCATATTGATCCTGGCTCTGGCTACTGACTACTCTACCTATCCTCCAGGATGCACGTTTTCTCTGGAGAAACGCATCCTGCAAATGGAGCACCCACGGGTTCCATCTCATCAGGCATTTCCAAGCAGCAACACCACTGGCAACCCATGCTTCTTTGGGCACTGCACCTCCTGTTTCCACCTCCAGGGGTGCACTGCACTTAGCCGTAAGGGGAGCCCTCTCTCTATTGCAGCCTCCAGTCAGGTATGTGACACACATCTTTATAGATCAGAAAGAAAACTCCTCCTTCAAGCTTTAACCAGTGCTCTGCTGAAGTCACAAGACTGCTCTAACTGCTGATGAGAATATGTATTTAGCAGTTTATATTTACTAAAATATAAGCACAGTGGCTAAGTGGTTAGCACTGGCAGTAGTAGGGTAATTGCTTCGAATCCCAACCACGGCACCACTTGCCTGGAGTCTGTGTGTTCTCCCTGTGCCTGTGTGGGTTTTCTCCAGGTACTCTGGTTTCCTCTCACATTCCAAAGACATGCTGGTAGGTTAATTGGATCCTGTCAAAATTGGCCCCCTACTATGTGTATGTATGAATATGAGTTAGAGACCTTAGATTCTACGCCCTTTGAGGTTAGGGACTGATGTGAATGTACAATATATATGTAAAGCGCTGCGTAAATTGATGGCGCTATATAAGTACCTGTAATAAATAAAATAATTGCATTTCCATGCCGTGTGTACTGTGGGAGACCAGTTATAGTGAATACAGGTTCCTGGGTTTAGTATCACTTTAAGTTCCATCCTTTTCTAACAAGACACACTCTACAACATCTGTGAGTGCTTCCTGAGCTTTTAGACTTCTGCCAACTGTTTCTCAGATCTGTAAGGCTGCCACCTAGGCTTCTATCCTCATTTTCTCTAAATTCTATCAGGTGGTCATTCAGCATCATCTGAAGCCAGCTTTGGGTGTAAGTCCCTTGAGCAGGCACTTTGAGCAGCAAGCAGTTCACAACTTTACTGTTGTTCTTGTTTCTCAAGCCTGTTGGCATTTGTTTGCTGTTTGCCAAACGCACAGTTAGACTGCTTTTGGACATTCTTAGGTTAAATACTTCCTCAGTGTGCCTGGATCAATAGAAGCACACTTGCAAAGAAGAGAGTCATTTAAGTATTTAAAATGGCTATACTTAGTTCCTTAGAAGTCAGCAAGGGTAGAAGGCATCAGCACACAATCACCTTGAGGTTTCTAAAATTAAATCAAAGACCCTACTATACAGCTGAGCTGGAGCTGCTACAAGTAATTGCTACACATTTGACCCAAAGCATCTAAACAATTTTGGCATATTCCTTTGACAATCTTCACAACTGATTTCGGATGGTTGGAGCTGTATTACTTTCTTATAAAAGCAGGTTTGCTTAAGCTTCCCTCCCTTTAAGATGCTTATATTGTAATTTTTCTTTCCACCCACCCACGTATGGCTTCTGTATAACAATGCAAATATTTTTTTTTGAGGGGATCAGCAGCAAGGAAGAAGGACAGGGCACGCTACGTACAACCTGTGTACTTCAATAAAGATTTTTGGTAGTATGTAATGTCCAAAGCTGATCAAAAGTGGTTGTTGCTGCCAAAGCAGTTTTAATAAGAGGTCTTTCAACAAATAGCAGGTCAATGCATTTGGCTGTGTATATACTAGGGGTGGGAATTTAATTCTCAGAATGTTCTACAAACAAAACATAATGTTTACTTACCTATACGGAGGATGTTACATAGTTACATAGTTAGTCTGGCTGAAAAAAGACAAAAGTCCATCCAGTTCAACCATTAAAAAAAAAAAAAAAGTTATTACCCTACACCCACAGTTGGTCCAGAGGAAGGCAAAAAAACCCCAGCAAAACATGATCTAATTTGCTCCTGCAGGGAAAAAAAGTCCTTCCTGATCTCCCAAGAGGCAATCGGATATTCCCTGGATCAACTTTACCTATACATGTTAGTATCCAATTATATTCTGTGTATCCAAGAAAGAATCCAGGCCTTTTTTACAGCAATCCACTGAGTCGGCCAGAACCAACTCTTGAGGGAGTCTATTCCAAATTTTCACAGCTCTTACTGTGAAGAAACCTTTCCGTGTTTGGATATTAAATTTCTTTTCCTTCAGACATAAGAGTGCCCTCTTGTCCTCTGTGATGACCTCAGGGTGAATAACTCTACACCGAGTTCACTATATGAACCACTGATGTATTTATACATGTTCATCGTATCCCCCTTAAACTCCTCTTCTCAAGAGAGAATAAATTCAGTTCCTCATAGCTGAACTCCTCCATGCCTCTTATCAGTTTGGTTGCCCTTCTCTGTACTTTCTCCAGTTCCCCAAGTCCCCCAAAAGAGTCCCCTTGTGAAACAACACACTTTTATAGATGACTGCACTGGTATGTTGCTCAATATCTTTGTAGTGGCACACTGGATGTCTGGAATATCATAAACCTTGTGTCCTTTTATGGCATTTTTTAATTTTAGTATTGTCATGTTGGAGAGTCCACTTGTAAGGCCAGAGTTATGGTACTTTCCTTCAAACAGATTCCCACACACTTTTCAGAATTTCCAGGCAACAATTTCGGTTTGTCATTGTATCATCGTGGATATATTCCTACTCCTCCTTAAATCACCTATTCCATTCAAAAAAACATGGAATGATCACCATAAACCTAAAGTTTCACTCACACGTTTGCAAATTTTCACTCAAAATTTGCTGTTAATCTGCTGCTCCAGATTCCTGTCTTTTATTTTCTGCCAACAGCGCAACACACACACGTGTTATTTCTTCTGCTAATCCATAAAGAGTCACCTGGTCTGTGAGTGCAAGTTAGAACATGTCAGAACTGCAAATGGATCCACACATTCTGGGAATTAAATTGTCACACCTCATATATATATATATATATATATATATATATATATATCACCTCCATGGCCACAGGTGTATAAAATCAAGTACCTAGGCATGCAGACAGCTTCTACAAACATTTACGAACAAATGGGTCGCTCTCAGAAGCTCAGTGAATTCAAGCGTGGTACCATGATAGGTTGCCTCCTGTGCAATATGTCCATCCATGACATTTCTTTGCTACTGAATATTCCACGGTCAACTGTTCGTGGTATCACAACAAAGTGGAAGCAACTGGGAACAACAGCAACTCAGCCACTAAGTGGTAGGCCACGTAAAATGACAGCACGGGGTCAGCGCATGCTGAAGCACACAGTGCGCAGATGTTGCCAACTGTCTGAAGAGTCAATAGCTAAAAACCTTCAAACTTCATGTGATCTTCAGATTAGTGCAACAACAGTGAGTAGAGAGCTTCATGAAATGGGTTTCCGTAGCTGAGCAGCTGCATCCAAGCATTACATCACCAAGTGCAATGCAAAGCGTTGGATGCAGTGGGGTAAAGCATGCCACCACTGGACTCTAGAGCAGTGGAGACGTGTTCCCTGGAGTGACGAATCACGCTTCCCTGTTGGCAATCTAATGGACATTGCTGGGTTTGGCAGTAGGCAGGAGAACGGTGCTTGCCTGACTGCATTGTGCCAAGTGTAAGGTTTGTGGGAGAGGAGATTATGTTGTGGGGTTTTCAGAGGTTGGTCTTGGCCCCTTAATTCCAGTGAAAAGAACTCTTGCATAAAGCATGCATGCATAAAGCAAGGTCCATAAAGACCTGGATGAGCAAGTTTGAGGTGGAGGAACTTGACTGGCCTGCAGAATGTCGTGAACTCAACCTAATAAAACACCTTTGGGATGAATTAGAGTGGAGACGGCACTCAAGGCCTTCTTGTTCGACATCAGTGCCTGATCTCACATATGTGCTTCTGGAAGAATGGTCAAGCATTCCCATAGACACACTCTTAATCCTTGTGGACCATCTTCCCAGAGGCGTTTAAGCTAGTATAGCTGCAAAGGGTGAGCCAACTTAATATTGAACCCTACAGACTAAGACTGGGATGCCATTAAAGTTCATGTGCATGTAAAGGCAGGTGTCTCAATACTTTTGGCAATATAGTGTAATTAATATATATATATATATATATATATATATATATATATATATTGTGACAGTGTGGCGATCTGTCACCCTGGATTCTCAACAAGGCAGGTTGAGGGGCTCCAGGGTAAGTGTTTGATATGGAGGAAAGTGGCTTTTCACTTTCCTCCTTTGTTTGTAAGGTCTGTTTTGGGATCTGGAGCCTGGAGATTTCAAAGAGATCTGGGAGGGATGAAATCTCCAATCCTGGGACCAGGTTTTGGGATAGGCCAGGAGACTGATTGCACAGGTGTGTGCAGGCCTTTAGAGAGAGTCAGGACCAGGGTTCTAGGCTCCACCCCGGCAGCTAGGAGTCAGCAGGGCTCCACCCCGGCAGCTAGGAGTCAGGAGGGCTCCACTTGGAAGACAGGAGGTCGTCACTGCCTGGAAGTCAGGTGGGCTTCACCTAGGGGAGGTGGAAGCCAGACTAGCTGTGTGCTAGTGGCTATAATTTGGGAAGAGTCTGCAGGAGACTGACATTGAACTGTGTGTAAGCCAGGAGGCTGAATTGTTGTTTTTGTGATGGTGGATACCCCTGCGTGGGAAGCATTATGTTTGAACTTTCATTTAAATAAAAGTGGGCTAAAAAGGCCCTGAAAAAGAAAGCGAGTAGCTGTTTGCGTTTCAAAGCTCTACCACGTTGAAGCGAGTTCCCACAATATATATATATATACAGTATATATATATATATATATATATATATATATATATTTATATATATATATTTTACATGTATTTATATGTATCATATAGCAAGCAAAAAGTTTCAGACTACAATTGCCTCTGTCAGGTGCTTTGCATTTCAAAGGAAAGTGTGGCCAGGAACGTTCAGCTTTCTTTTAATCATATTATATCAATAAAATGGATATTTCCAGAACTACAATCAAGCTCAAGGACTCATGATAAACATGCATGGACTATGGATTCTGTGATGTCTAGTGCGCACCTGTGGATGATGAGTAATTGAAGGCAATTGTTCAGTCGTAATAAATTACGATGTAAATGTAGTGTCTGCTACTGTAACATGTTTACTCTACTTCAGCTTTTATGATTCTACTCTCACTTTTAAATGATATATTTACATATGAGTAAGTCCATTTTACTGTAGAGTGATGTTAAATTAAAAAAAAACATGATTTCTTTTTAACACTTCAAGCTGCTTATGTTATTTTAAGTACTAATTGATAAATATATAGCCTAAACTGCCGAGTGCATGAAAGCAGAATTCCATCCCCAGAACCTTCTTCAGAAGTGGAATATTTGCCTTTGACAACACTTTCTAGGACAGATCCCCTACGTAAATGATCTGCAGCGCAGTGAGACAGATTATATAAATAGAATTCCTGTGGCAGGTGGCAGCAGAGTTGCCCTTCAAAAAAAAACGAGTCAGCATGAAGAAGCCTGCCAGGTAGCACCCACACATGATACCTGTTGTCATTAGCCTGCAGGGTGTGGGAGTTAGCACATAGGCGTTTGCCAGTTGGCAACATGTATCTGAAGGAAAATACTAGCTTTTTATTAAGAAAGGGATAAGTAGTTGCTGCCCACAAATCAGCCTATACAATTGCATCTGTCACTTACAGGGATTGTTTTCATGTGTTCCACCCTGCAAGTGTTTCTGAATGTTTTGTGCTTTCTTTGCCCAGTATTAGCTGGTAAACCTTCACATGTTAGTCATTTTTTATGACTGCTAGCCTTTGTGAATGCTCAAAATTCCTGTATTTAATGTAAAGTGCTATAATTTCATATCTTGGACTATGTCCGTAAAGAGTTAAGAGTTATACAGCTTTGCAGTGCAGTAACGTCTTCCGACACTTGGAGACATACTCCATCTGTAGGGCTAGCCTTTAGAGCTTGTCACTCATAACACTTTGCAAGTATTGTAATATTAGAGAATAACAACAACAGAATTTTCATTTTCTTAAGTTAGCTAGCATCTGTTAGATGAAGCTGTCAGTAAAGCAGAAGGGGAAATAGCATTTAAAAAGTGAATATATATATATATATATATATATATATATATATATATATAGTGCTCAGCATAAATGAGTACACCCCTTTTGAAATATAAGATGTTAATCAATATCTCAATGAACACAAGAACAATTTCCAAACTTTTGACAAAACTGAGATTTATAGAACATTTGTTTAGCTCATTAAAGTGAAAGTAAGGTTAATAATATAACTTAGATTCCAAAATCTTCAGTTTTACTCAAATTAGTTGATGCAAAAATGAATACATCCCACAACAAAAACTAATACATCTAGTATTTTTTATGACCTCCATGATTTTTAAGGGCAGCAACAAGTCTTCTAGGCATGGAATGAACAAATTGGCTACATATTGCAACATCTCTTTTTCCATTCTTCGAGAAGGACCTCTTTTAGAGCCTGGATGCTGGATAGAGAGTGATGCTCAACTTGTCTCTTCAGAATTGCCCATAGGTGTTCGACTGGGTTCAGATCAGGAGACATACTTGGCCACTGAATCACTTTCACCCTGTTCTTCTTTAGAGTGGCAATAGATGTTTGTTTTGGATCATTGTCATGTTGGAAAAGTGCATGACGACCAAGGGCACGGAGTGATGGTAGCATCTTCTCTTTCAGTGAAGAGCAGTACATCTGTGAATTCATAATAACATCAATGAAATGCAGCTCCCCAACACCAGCAACACTCATGCAGTCCCACAGAAGGACACTGCCACCACCATGTTTCACTGTAGGCATCATGCATTTTTGTTTGTACTCCCCACCTTTGCAATGCCAGTTTTGAAGCCTTCAGTTCCAAAAACATTTATCTCGGTCTCATCCCTCCAGAGTATAGAGTCCCAGTAGTTTTCTTTTTTTCAGCATGGGCCCTGGCAAATTCTAGGCTGGCTTTTTTGTGCATGGGCTTTAGGAGAGACTTCCTTCATGGACGACACTCATGCATGCCATTCCTCTGCTGTGTACGCCATATTGTGTCACAGGAAACAATCACCCCAGTTTGACTGTCTACTTCTTTAGCTAGCTGCAGTGAATTTGCATGCTGATTTTCTTCAACCCTTCTTATCAGAAAATGCTTCTGGCAAGGTGTTAGCTTCTGTGGACGGCCTGGATGTCTCCGTGAGATGGTTGCAGTTCAATCTTTGTTAAATTTTTGTATCACTTTTGCTAAAGTATTCTGACTGTTAAGTAATGCTTTTCCGATCTCTTGTAGCATCCACCTCTCTTGTATAATCAGTTTGCAAAGACAAGATGTGTTCAACAATGGAATGCCTCACATATAGTTTTCGGTCCTTCATTTACATGGGTACTCGAGTATTGTTGCAACCAATCATAGAGCAGGCACAAATGTGACTGCTATCATAGAGTAGGCACAAATATGACATCTATTAGCGATGATTACAACTCCCGCTGTTGGCACCAAGAACGGCTTCCCAATCCTACGATGACCCCTGTAATGGCAACACGAGTATAAGCAGCACTTGACTGAGAGTAATACCTCAGTGGCATGGCCTGTGCATGCCAGGTGCAGCTGCAGAAACCCACAATGGCCATGTTCGAATCCCCACTGCGGTGCAACATCAGAATGGCAACAAAACATGTTCTATACCACTACAATATATACATATTCACAAAATTATGTCCAATACACAAAAAACTACAGATCACAAACAAATAAAACCATGTTGGAAAAACATGGAATTCTGGGCAGAAAGTATTGTATTATTTGTGCAATATCAAAGAATCACAGATCTAATAAAAAGAACCTAAAAAAGGGGAAAATGTGGGCAAGATGAAGACAGAGGAGGATGAGGTGCATAATAACCTTGCCTCTCCATTCCTCCAGATGAAAAACTGTTCTATAAACAGTTTAACGTTAACAGCTTCAGGAGGTGATCTAGCATGCAGTAAAAAAAAAAAGTTCTATTTGTAGAAGGGATTTTTTTTTTGCAATCCACACCTCTGGAACTTGGATGTATACTATCTAGAATTAAAAATGTAATTTTTGGAAATTTGCCACAATGAACTATATAGGAAGTTCAGGGTCACATGTTCTCATACTTCATATGAGTCTGTATTCTAGCCTCCAAAATTCTAACTTTGTCTTGCCCACATAAAAGCATTCACATTCACATAAACGTAAATAGACACCCCCAAAGGGCTTACAATTTTGAAAAATATTATTGTTTAAGATATTCACCATTAGGTAATCTAAACCGTGATTCAGTGCACATAAACCTGCAGTAATTACATGCACCGCAAATGATAATGCCCTTTTGTTTACATGGATCTCTCTGGGTGTGCCCTCCAAATTTACTCTGTGTCACCCAATCTTTTATAGAGGTGGCCCTTCTAAAGGTAATTTGAGGGACAGGGGGGTCTATTGTGAGTAGGTGCCAATATCTTTGAATGATATCTCTGATTTACGTTTCATAGTGAGTCTAGTGGAGTTATTAGAGTCCTTTTCTCTTTTGTCCTTGTATAACAGATCATTCCTAGTTTTCATATTGGCACATCTGTAAGCCAGGGGCGGACTGACAACTCATGGGGCCCCCGGGCAATAGGGGAACATGGGGCCCCTGTGTCCTTGCCCAAACTCAAAAAACCCTATGAAAAAGGTACCAGGGGCATCTCATGGGGCCCCCTGTTGACTCCGGGCCCTCGGGCAGTGCCCAAGTTTCCAAATGGTCAGTCCAGCCCTGCTGTAAGCTTTTTCGTATATCCTGCATTTTGTATATCCTCTGTGATACTATGTGATTTTAGTGATTTTAGTGAATGTCACTTTTTGTCATTTTCAAATTTCCCTCCGCTCCGTCCCTGTACGTCCTGACGTCGCAGGGAAGGGAACCCAGATGACAGATGTCGGCATCCGCCAGATTACATTGCCGGGGACACTGCAGGAGGGACATCGGGGGAGCGCAGGACAAGGTAAGTGATTGAGGGATCCCGGAGCGGCGCCGCATGGTAAGCCCAAGTGTAGCTCGGGGTTACCGCTTGTGGTACTGAAACTTTACCCCGAGCTACACTCGGGAATACCGCCAGGGAGGTTATAATTACCCCATTTTATGGGATTCACCTTGCTGGCACAATTTGGTGTGTATTATCCCAATTTGGGATTGGGTTGTTTTTTTGTTTTTGCACAACATGTAGGGTCTGAATTTGTGACCCAATTTTTTATATATTCACATAGTTGTACTTTATATATTTCTGCACTTTATTTCGGATCCCTTTTGGGAATTTATAGTTTTTTATTAATATTATATCATTAAATTATGTGTATTTATTTTTAGCGCTGCACCATATGTACATTATTTATGCTATTTAATCTTTTTGAGGTAAAGGGTTTGGGTGCTAGCAGCTGTGTTTAGGTTGAGTTCATTTAGCGCAGGAGGAACTATTACACTTACGCCATCTCCAAATTGTTCCCACAAAGTTGGGAGCATGACATTGTCCAAACTGTCTT